GAAATGGAAGTAATCCCAACAATTATGAAACAAGAGATTTCTCGAAACCCAACTTTTCTTCGTATATATTGAGCCCCAATTGTCTCAATCCTCTCTTCACAAGACTTACTTACCTTCGTGTCGAATCATCCCTATCGCTTAGTCATCGGGAACGTTGGTAGCAGATGAAACCTCTAATTTAACTCGATCCAAGCAAGATCCTGGATCACCATGGTCTATCACAGTGATCCCTGTAACTCGTCAGGATCTACAGAATTTCCGGACTGACTTGCCAAAACCGTCAAGAAGGTGTAATCGCTAAACCAATCGATTGAGGATAACTTGCCAACCTTGGATATCGGAAAACGGTTGAGATGGCAGGCATTCTCTCCATGTGGAGCAGGCCTGCATGACGGATCTGAACGTGTTCCAGGATCGACTGCTCCTCGACTGGACTGTCGCTCGTCTGCTCCAGGTCAGGTGACATGAAGCGGATCCCGCCCCAAATCTCCGGCAATCTCATGGCATCGCTTCTATCGCTCTCCTGTCCGTCGCGTCTGTCTTGACCCTCGAGTGTGACCGTCCGGTGTGCTCGTCGCTGAGTCAGCCTCGTCGCGTTGAGAGGCCGGCCAGAGTTTCCCGACCCCTCTATGCTGATTGGTCGAGATGTACTCTGTCTCTGCTTTAACCTGTTGTCAGCCGAGCCTGGGTCGGAGCGGACTGAAGCGTCAGGCACGGCAACAATATTTATGCCAGAACTTGTCTCGGGGCTGTCGTCATCAGTTCTTTCGAGTCCGTCACGGCAATCGCCGCATCTGAGAAAGACGTATTGCCCAGACCTGGCGCATCTGGAAGGGAGAGAAGAAGAGAGAGAAGGGTATATGAAATGTGAAGAGCAGAGGCGGTCAGAGACGAACAAAGAGATGCGGAATGGGATAAAGGGATAAAAGGAGGAAGAAGCATAGTGAAAAAGAAAAATCTTATGAAAAATAAAGTATTTGTTGAAATGCCCGAACCCCAAATTCAAAGCTCTCCAAAAAGGCCACCCAGATTGAGGCGTTTCGTTGGGAACATAAACCGGGTCAGTTTTCGAAAACATCGGCTGGAAAGATTGTCAAATTGGGCCTTACTCATAATGAATCTCGTAGGGATCAGTTCTAAACGAATGGCCCCAGGCCATTCACTTGAGAGTGACGAGGGCAAGAGAGGCGATCTGTGTTGAGCACACGAACGGCATTTCGGGACAGTTTTGCCAAGTAGAAGAGACTCTTTCGGTCAGCCCGGACCGAAACCGAATGGAGTTGATAATGAGATGACATGACGAATTGAAAATCAAAACCATCCTAGACGAACATGCATTTCGGGAGAGAAGTGAAATGCAATGGTATAATGAGGCCTTTATGCATTTTATTGTTGGCAGTTCAACAAAAATTTCTCACATCTCCTTAGACAACGCAATATTCTTATTGGAAATGATGAACAGCAAATAAGCCCAGGGCACGTTTACTGCATAAATCGCAAAGACGCCACCTCTGAAGAATGAAGGCATATCTCGATCCAGATCTCTGACGCCGCCTAAACGACCAAAGTACAAATGAGGCCAAACACTAACAAGAGCTAGACATCTCGAAAAAGTTTGTAGTGACATTCACTGACATACTGAGACCCGTAACTCACTCCATTGTTGTTACTTCCACTACCAGTCCTTACTAATAAGGATCTACTGAAGGCCCAGAAACATAATTTTTGTGTACATTGCTCTTACAAGAACCCAAACTAGTTGAAATATAAATGTAAAGGGCTCAAGGGCAGGAGAATTGCTCTTTTGCACATGGGTGTCCACCTGGAATTTTACTCCTTCTTTCTAGGTCGTAAGACTACCTCATATCTTCTTGTGATGGAATCTATTGGCATGACATCTTTACAGAATATATACTCCGCACCGATTTTAGCATTGAAATCGCCGCGTGTGAGAAACTCAAGCAAAAATAGCTTTTTGATTCGAGCCCGGCTGTGGGCTGAGCTAGCCCCATCGCGAAACTGCTCGTCTCAACTGACAGCAAACCCCGAGGTCATTGCTGAAGCGGTGAAACCCAATATAAAGTTAATCTTACTATTGACAAGACCCCATGGACTTTCTAGAGATTGCCCATGTTAGCAGACGACTTGAGGAAAATTCTGGCAGCATAGTCTTCTGTGCATCCTGCACTGACTTGTCTCGCGAAAGTCAACTTGGGTGAGTTTTTAGATAGCATTTAACTGGGCTGGACTGCCTTTCTAATGCATGATTTTTGTGGGTAGACGGTTAACAAACTGAGTTGAACCGTTGGATCGCAAATTAATTATTAGACGTATGCTACAAGGGGCCCAATCTGAGGTCGATTGATGCGATAGAAAGTGAAGAGGCTGTAGAGATGAAGTAATGTAGAGGAAGAGAGGGAGCGCAATGGAGGATGGAAGATGTCTGGCAATGTATACGAAGAAAAGTTGGGTTTTGAGGAATCTCTTGTTTCATAATTGTTGAGCTTACTTCCATTTCAAGTGGAAGTGTTGAGTGAAAAGATTCGAAGGTCGGTTCCACCAGAAGACGACGGCGAATTCGATTGGCTTTACTGGAACATTCATGCTGACGCTGTTTCCGAGGCAAACTCCTTCGATTCCGGTGAAAACGTGCTAAGCTTTCGTGCGTCATATGACGAACATCATCAGAGCACGGTATCATCGTCACAACCAAATTCAAGCTAACGAGTCAAGAAAACCAAATCACCTTATACTAGATCAAAGAGGGGAGATGTAGAGTTTATATACCACTTTTTAGAGGTTTGCCGGTGAGTTTTCTTGACTCGTAAGCTTGAATTTTGGTGCGACGATGTTACCTCGCTCTGATGATGTCCGTCATATGACGGACGAAAGCTTAGCACCTTTTCATCGGAATCGAAAGAGATTGCCTCGGAAACAGCGTCAGCATGAATGTTCCAGTATGGTCAATCGACAGCTGGTCAAGAAGAATCTGCCGTCGTACTTCTGGTGGAACCTTCGAACCCACCACTTTCACTCGAAATGGAAGTAAGCTCAACAGATGTCTGGCAGTCGGGAAGTCATATGACGTAGAGAAGCTGCATTTTTTTCCCAATCAGTCCGGGCAAACTAAGGTCCTGGAGACCGCCAGAGAAATGGGTAATGCGTTTCAAGGCTCCGTCGGTGAAATCAACCTCACTTGGTCTTCTTTACATGCAGGTCCAATCGACATGAAGATGACACAGAAGCAGATGCAGTGGCAATGAACGAAGAGGTGGTGGTTCTGTTAAATTCATCACGCTGCAACAGAATGAGAGCCTTTTGGGTGTCGGAGCCCCGAGGTTTGGGGCTTTGCACCGGCGATTCGTTACGAAAACGCGCAAACGTTGATGACTGGTGCGATAGATTGTCAGGACTTCTTCCTCCCAAACACTTTGAGGGAGTGAAGGTCGTGACCTGAGTCTGCTGGATCCAAGCCGTGGCCTATATGCGACTTGTGAGATTACGAGCGTTCGACACTCAGAGTGCATGAGGCAGGCCTGTGCAATGGACCTGAGGTGTGTGCGTGTGTGTCGATCATGTGTGGTAGGTGTGTAAGAGGAAGAGGCTTGTGATAGAAGGCCTGCCTCGAGGTCAGTCGCGAGGGCCACAGAGGATAGATCGGGCGTTAGGTTACGGGGCCAAAGTGCCATAGTGATGCGAAGGACTGAGTCATTGCAAAGTCAGACCATTGCACCTACCATCCAGAATAAGAAGTTGGTAACTATGGCTCTGTTAAGGTGAGTCAGGATCAGGTAATTGAGTTTTTACCACAATCTTGTGAACAGGCCTTAGTTAATGGTAAAAGCGCTAGTAAAAATAGTTGAATTAACTTAAGCAACCCGGAGTGACCAAGTTCTGATTCGAACAGGAGCGCAGCGAGTGCGTTTTGCAATGTTTTTTTTGTCTTCTACTACAGACAGGCCTGAGTTAAGCACCAAATACAACGTCCTTGTTCACATTTTTATGTTGGGAACAGAAATAGTAATTAATCGCCCCTTCAGGAATTGGGAAAAAATCTTCATTAACCGTCTGGGTTGCTCGGCATGCACTTTCCATGTGATTTTGCCACTACAGTAGCGTAAAAAGACAGGAAAGCAAACGAACAGACGAAGATAAAAAAAAGCGAATTGAGTCTAATAAGCGAAACAATTTAATGAATAAGTCAGCGGAATTGAAAAGTAAAAAATAAGAGGCCACATAGTTTGAAGAGACCGACCGTGAAGCATCAAAGTTGAATCTACGCGAGCATTCCGACCGGCTCAGCTCAAACCCGCTGCAGGTGTACGCCTCTGTCCAAATGTGTTTCTGCACCAGCGCAACTTTCTCGCCATACACACAAAAGTCGAACAGCCTGGAAGTCCGGACAATAGCATTCATTGTCGGTTTGCCCGACTCCGCACAAACGACCTAAGAAGAAAATGGAAACGGGAAATTTGTGAATTTAGTGAAATTACAACTATTCTTACCCACAGATGCATGCAAGAGTTGGGTCTCGGAGCGGAGTTTGCGCTAGAGCGTAATCGTAAAGTAGTCAAAAGTTGTAGATACGAAGAAAAACTGGGTTTCGATGAATCTCCTGAGATAACATTGTTAGAAGGACCTTCATTTGGTATGAAAGTGCATGAAGAAGAGATTCGTTGGTCGATCTCACCAGATGAGGACAGATGAAACTCGTTTTACTGCAGCCGGTTTGATTGGACAGGATATCCAT